AGAAATATACATGTAACAAAATTGACCTTAAATTTGTATCAATAAACCAAGATCCATACCAATGCAAATTATTCATCTCTATATCACAGAAAAGCCAAGCACCTGCATAGCACCTGCTGTTCCAACCCTCAAGAGGCTGAGGCCAGAGGAGTTTGAATTCAAGGCTAGCCTTGGCTACATAGCAAGGCCCTGTCTCAGAAAACAAAACCAGAGACACTTGTCACCCACCCCCACATATGAACAAAAGGGCATAGAGCTGACTTTGAATCCCTGCCCAGCTGCTTTCTTGGTATATGCTATAATTTTCTTAGTCTCTGCTCCCCAGCTCTGCTTTGCCGCACAGGAGGAGTGGATTTATCTGCACCTTCCGCGGCTGCTGCAGAGAAGACTGGGTGCTAACAGTGACGGCCATGTGGTCTTTGCCGACGTCACTCACGTACTGTTGTCTCCTTCAGTCTGGTACAGTTCTCAAGTCTTCTCTTGACATTCAGAATTGTGATACTTACAGGCCGGTTCTTTGCCACTTGCCCTCCATTGGGTTTGCCTGGTGTTTTTCTTGTGATCAGTGTTGTGCCTGTTGGTGGAGGTCCCACCTAGGTGTTGTCTCCATTCTGTCCCCCACACCTTGCTAGGGAACACATGATTGTAACTTGACTCATTACAAACCTGCCATCCTTCCATACTGTGAAGTTACCCCCTCTGCCCTTTGTGTGTTTGGAACTGGGGACCTTCTGTACACCACACCCCAGAAACTTGAGCCACTCAGTACACTGTGCCCTTTTCTGGCTCTGGGCCTTGGTCCTGACAGCACTCTCTGCCCCTGCACTTGACGTGTGCATGCATGTGCACACATGTGTAAAGGCCAGAAGTTAACACTGAATTGTCTGTCTGGATAACTCTCCACTTTATTTAATGAGGCGGGACTATCAGTGAAGCCATCACTGATTCGGACTGTCCAGCTAGCCAGCCTATCCCAGGAATCTCCCAAGTACTGGGATTGCCAGAGGCCCGCCACACTGCCCAACATTTACATGGTGGTGGGAGTCATACTTAGGGTCCTCACACTTACGTAGCCAGTGCTTTACTTACTGAGCCATCTCCCAGACTCTTATTTTCCATTGTAATAAGTGTTTGATAGACAGTGCCTTGAAACTATGCACATAATCCATTCTTAATCATATATTGCATTTATTTAGCCAGACCTGTATATACTTTGATTTCTTATTGGACTCAGTCCAATCTGTTGTTATCACTGTTTTTTTCATCACTCATTTTAGTCAGCTTGTCCTAGATGTAGCTCATGACAGAGTTTGCCTGGAGTTATGATCTCCCAGAACTTGTGACTTTTGGAGCTGCTCAGCCTTCAGGCTGGCTCTCATGTCTGCTGCACAAGTCCTTTCTCTGCCATTCTTTGAGTGCCTCCTTCCCTACTAGCATGAAGATGTCCCAGGCTCATCCTAGACTTCCCATGACATAGCCCAGGAATCACCCATTTGTCCAAGCAAATTTGGAATCAGGAACCTTTTGAGTATTAGGCTTTGTTTGCCACGGCATAGAGACTTGAGCCAGGTGGGTGTACTCACCCACTTAGTACACCGTGCTCTTGCCTGGCTCTGGGCCTTGGTCCTCATGGCGCTCTCTGCCCTGAGCTTCTCCAGGAAGCCTGCTCCCCCACTGGCCCCTGGGAATCCAGGCTGTTCTGAGCCCTACCAGGCATGTTAGGTCATCTTCCTTGTCTGGAAGGTTAAGCCCAGGCTTCAGATTCACCTCGCTCTCCTGACTCAGGACAAGGCTGGAGCTGGAGACTGCTAGTTAAGCGGGGGATCCAGTCACCCACTTTCACAGGCCGAAAAGTAAATGGGGCAGAGGGCAAACGACTGACACAAAACCACGCTTCATAGGTATAGGCTGGAGTTCATTCTTGAACTTTGTTATTGTTGTTGTATTACTTCTAGAACCCACAACTTTGCCCATGCCAAGTATTGGCTCTGCCTATGACCTCTATCTTTCTCTTGCCTGAACTTTAGAACTCTCTTTAAACCAGTTATGGTAGCACATGCCATTAGGATTCGCTGAAGGAGAAGAGGGCAGGAGGATCATGAGTTCAAAGCTAACCTAGAACTCTTTAAAATAAAAAACTGCATATGTATTTGTGAATGCATGTGTGTTTCTGTACAGGTGCATATGTGTGCATGTGCATGTTTTCAAATTATTTTGTTCAGAGACTTGAAGGTAGGGAAGGGGCCAAAGTCTGTGTCCAGACTAGAAGCTGTGTTCTGACTAGAAGCTCAGTCTAGGAGAGGGCAGATCTGTCTGGCTATCTCGTGGCTGACAGCTAGAACTCTTCATTCTAAAATGGGTCTCATTCTCAGAATGGAGCTATGACCTGGAGGACTTTTTTACTTAAAAATTTTTGTTATTAACTAGGCATGGTGGTGTACATCTTTAATTCCAGCACTCAGGAGGCAGAGGCTGGCAGATCTCTGTGAGTTTGAGGTCAGCCTGGCCTACAAAGCAAGTTCCAGGACAGCCAAGACTACACAGAGAAACCCTGTCTCAAAAAACTAAAGGGAAAAAAATTTGTTATTGCTGAAGCACTACTAATAACATTTCAGAAAATCAGAAATACAAATAAAAGGGAAACCAAACATTGGACTCCTATCCACAGACGCTGCCAGGGCTGGCCACCTGAGAGTCGTGTGTCTCAAGCTTTTTCTAAGCGTAGATTTTCCTCGCTGCATTTTTCAGTTTGTAACATCCTTTGGGGGGGGAAGGATTGCCACCATTTGTTCTATAAATTTTCAGTGCATCTAATACTCAGATCAACTTCAGGTTTCTCTAGTTGTCCCCAGACATCTCTTGTAAGGTGGCGCAGGACTGCTGTCATCCAAGGTGCTAGAGACCGAGACTGGGAGATCGCGCATTCAAGTCCAGCCTGGGCAATTTAATAAGATCCAATTTCAAAATAAGTGCAAAGAAGCCTGAGGATTTGGCTCAGTCATAGAGCTTGTCTTGCATGCATGAGGCCCCGGATCAAATCTCTGGTTAAAAGGAGGAGAAAGAGGAGGGATGTCTTATTTATAGCTGATGTTTAACAATCCAGAGTCACACTTTACAAATGGTGATGCCCCGGACTGGACAGATGGTTCAGTGGGTAAAGAGCTTCCACAGGACCTGGGTTCAATTCCTAGAACCCAGGCAGCTTACAACTGTCTGTAACTCCAGTTCCAGGGGATCTGACACCCTCACACAGACATGCATGCAGGCAAAACACCAGCGCACATAAAAGTAAATCATTTTAAAAAATGCAAGTTGGTAGTGGCACACACACTCAGGACACTGGCGGATCTCTGAGTTCAAGTGCAGCTTGGTCTATAGAACGAGTTCCAGAATGGCCAAGGCTACATAGAGAGACCATAACAAAAACCCAAATGGTGAGCCAGGCACGGTGGCTCACACCTTTAATCTCAGCACTTGGGAGGCAGAGGTAGACAGATCTCTTGAGTTTGAGGCCAACCTGAGTGAGGTCCAGGAAAATCTCAAAACAAAACAAAACACCAAATAAACATCGTTATGATACCAACCTGAAAGGACAAGGTGGGAGCTCCGCAGTGCCCAGCACCTGGCTTTGTCTATATCTGTCCTTATGGTGTCACTTAGCTTGTTCTTCTGTCACCTTTATTTATTGTAATCTGAAGTGGTATGTAGGGAGGGCATGGTGAGTTTCCTGTACTTAGAATCCTTAGCTGGGAGCAGCCTATTATGGGCTTTCATGGTGCCAAGACTTGTCCTGGGTGAGGAAGGAGGCGGTGCTGCCTCTCCTGTAGCTGCATGTACTCTATCATGGGTAGAGAGTAACATGTATGTGTGGCTTTCCTGTGTTGGATGGATGTCAGTTCTGAGAGAGCATTATAGACCACGCAGCAGAGCTGTTGTATTTGCTGGGGGCTCGATCTCGGGGCTGGAGCTCTTGGGATGGAACAAAACAAGGACACTGAATCTCACCTTTTGAATACAGATCCTGAGAACCCTGGTTCTCTCTTTACTTGCTTCCTAGGCATAAGAGCTGGATTAAATCCCAGCCCTGCTACTTAGCCAGCCAGGTGACCTTGGGCAGGTACTAAACCTCTTTGAACCTCAGGTCTCTCCTTGGCTTTCTTAACTGGCATAATCATCGGGAGGCCTAATAAAGCAAGATACGTCTGGCAGTTTCCTCCCTAGATGAGAAGGTCTTTGAGAGCACAACTAAGTAATAGGGAGATGTCTGAGGATAGTCTCCTAGCCCAGGACAACAGGAGATGTCTGAGGATAGTCTCCTAGCCCAGGACGACAGGAGATGTCTGAGGATAGTCTCCTAGCCCAGGACGACAGGAGATGTCTGAGGATAGTCTCCTAGCCCAGGACGACAGGAGATGTCTGAGGATAGTCTCCTAGCCCAGGACCACAGGAGATGTCTGAGGATAGTCTCCTAGCCCAGGACGACAGGAGATGTCTGAGGATAGTCTCCTAGCCCAAGACGACAGGCAATTCATTATCTAACCCAGGCAGACCTTGAATTTGGGGTGATCCTCTTGTTCCAGCCTCTCAAGTTCTGGGATTACAAGAGTTTTTTGAATCACGCACACGCGCGCGCGTACACACACACACACACACACACACACACACACACACACAGTGACCAGGTGGTAAGGTCTGTTTGGGCATTTGATTTCTCATTTAGTGTGTCCCTATCTCAAGCTCCTTATGGAATTAACCATGAGCTTCTGCCTACATGTTGCTCCCAGGGGACAGGGAGGGCAGACGTAGAGATTCAGTGAGTAGGAGCCTGGATGGTTCTCCTGAAGAGGAGACTGGGCTGCACTGGTCGAGGCTGACTGTCCTTTGGTGTAAGAATTTCTGGGGAGCTGGACCAGGCTTGTGATAAGAAGCATCCACACTGGCTTCAGTGGCCGTTCTCTTTCCCCCATGCCTGTGTGACCTGACCACCATGTCTTCTGCAGTGCAGGATGGAGTGCTGCGATGTGCCAGCTGAGACGCTCTACGATGTCCTGCATGACATAGAATACCGGAAGAAGTGGGACAGCAACGTCATCGAGACTTTCGACATTGCCCGCCTGACTGTCAACGCTGACGTCGGCTATTACTCCTGTGAGCAGGCTTCCCACCAGGTCTCCTCCTCTAACTCTCCCTCCCTGTGGTCACTCCTGCAGTCGGGCTGCTCAGAGACTTGCATGTTGGGATGGAGAGCTGCCCTCTTCTGTGGCGTACAAACATACTCTCACTGATATACACAGTTACAAAGATATCACACACACATGTAAGGGGACCTCTGAGTGCATACAACTCGTAGCCACATGCCGTGTACCACAGAGACACATTTTTATGCACATGTGATCACAGTACTGTCAGTCTTACAAATATATTCACATGTACATATACGTTGGAACAATAAGGTAAGGCCGTGTGAGGCCCTGAGGGACAGGGTAGGCGGAGATAGCAGGACAAGGGTTCTCCTGTGTCCTCCCTGGTTCCACAGAGTGTCTGTGGTAGGGGTGGGGGTACCTGTCTGGATGGGGAGGGCTGGCAGTGCATAGGATCCCCAAGTCTCCCTCCCTTACCAGAAGATGGGCCAGCAGCCTGGCTGAACTGTTTCTTGCCCTCTCCAGGGAGGTGTCCCAAGCCTCTGAAGAACCGTGATGTCATCACCCTCCGTTCCTGGCTCCCCATGGGCGCTGATTACATCATTATGAACTACTCAGTGAAGCATCCTGTGAGTTGCCCTCCCTGGATGTGCAGAAGGATGATGGACAGGGACTTCAGGCAGGCATGGGGGTCAGCTTCCTTCCTGCGTAGTGAGGAGAATGACTCCGTGCAGGGGCTGTCAAGCAGCTCAGGGGAAGGGCAGTGTGGGCTGAAAGAGCAAGGGTGTGAACTGGTGTGGCTGGCCTAGAAATGGGGGAGCAGGAGCTCCATGGCAGGATCCTGGAGCAGGACTCACTTGAACTTCCTGGGCAGAGGGCAGGTGAGCCTAGGCAAGGGCTGAGTGCCCACAAACACCATAAACCGTGACTGAGCCCTGTACTGTGCTGATGGCACAGAAACAGCTGTAAGAGGGGCAAGGGCAACCTGGTCTGATTCCTCCTCCCTTAACCCTTAGATTAGGAGCCAAGTGATGTGAATAGCTATGAGTCTGTGCTTGTGTGTGTGTGTGTGTGTGTGCACGCGCATGTGCCTGTGTTAAGTGCATGACTTTAAGAGTTCCTCTGCCCCTACCCAAATCTCACCTCCCTGTGTCTTTCATCCCCAGAAATACCCACCTCGGAAAGACTTGGTCAGAGCTGTTTCCATCCAGACGGGCTACCTCATCCAGAGCACGGGGCCCAAGAGCTGCGTTATTACCTATCTGGCCCAAGTGGATCCCAAAGGTGAGGGCTTGACCCTGCAGCCCATTAATGGGTGCCCACCCTGTACAGGACATGAACTTGATCTGCCAGACCATCTGTTAGGAGCCATCCAGTACTGGGGGTGTCTATCTTCAAAGCTAGTAGTTTGAAAGGACCTACGAGGCAGGCATTGCTCCTTCCAGGAGCTTGGACCTGTCCTGCCCTGTCTCCTTCAGCCACATCCCAGAGGCCTGGGTTTTCCGAGCCTGGCCTTTCACCTCTCTTCCATCTCTGTTGAGGTGCTCAGCCTCTGGGTGTCTTCTAGACACTGGAGACTTGGATTCAACTTCGAGTTCGCCAGTGGCCTTCCGAGATCCACCCTTTCTTCAAATCACCTCTGCCCAGCACTTACCAGTTAGCTGGGGCCAGCTTCTCCATATCAGCTCCCAAACCCAATACTTACTTAGTCTCTCTCTGCCTTCCTCCTGTCTCACTCTGTAGCCCAGGCTGGCCTTGAGCTCATCACCAACTCAGCCCCTGGTTCTTACCTTTTCACTCTCTGACATAGCTCCTAGCCTGTCGTTCTTGGTACTCACCTACTTTGTCCAAACCAGCTACCAGAGGAAACAAAAAAACAAAAACCTCTAGTTTCCTCTGACTCACCCGCTTAAAATGCCCCTGTGACTCTGTTGTCCTGAGTATAGCCTGAGTCTCTGCCCAGGATTTCTGCCTTCCGTTCCCCACCTCGATGTTCATACAACCTTTATCCTCCACTAGCTGCCTGCACCTCTCCCCCCTCGGTGCTCCATGACCCTTTCTCCACCCCCAGTCCCCTTCCCCCTCAGCAGGCTAGTCCAGGATGGGCTTCACAGCGGGGTGGGTGGGGTAACTGGATGAGTGAAGTTGGCAGGAACACCCCGTGTCACTGGGCACAGTGGCCCAGGCTCTTGGCCCTTAATGGGTATATAGAGCAGGTATTTGGGAGTGAGCCTGCGGGAGAGCTGGGCTAGGTCAGGCAGGAGAGAGGCTGAGCACCAGGGGCAGTCCTGGGTTATCAGTGTGAGGGGAGGAAGGTGACAGGCTGGAGCTTGGTGGGTTAGAATACCTGTGATCACCTAAGACCCTATGGTTTCTTCTCTGAAGAGAGACAGTAGAGGCAGAGACAGTAGAGGAAATCAGCATGGGGTTCTTGAGAACACGGAGGAGGAAGGGGTGGCCTCCCTGCAAACTCTGGCAGTGGGCGGGGCTAGGTGCTTAAGGCCACCTTTTATCCTTGCTCCCACAGGCTCCTTACCCAAGTGGGTGGTGAATAAATCATCTCAGTTCCTGGCTCCCAAGGTAAGTGGCTTTGAACTTTGGGCGTGGGGGAGGGGCAGCTAGCACTGGGCAGGGGCAGAGCTAACTCTGGTTGGGACACTGGGGCTGCTGTGCACCACTGGAGGGTACTGGAGGGGTATGGAGAAGTGCTGGTCTCTAGGCCCCCCTAACAATGTTCACGTGGCCTCCAGGCCATGAAGAAGATGTACAAGGCCTGCATCAAGTACCCCGAGTGGAAGCAGAAACACCAGCCACACTTCAAGCCATGGCTGCATCCGGAGCAGAGCCCGTTGCCCAGCCTGGCACTGTCAGAGCTGTCCGTGCAGCATGCGGACTCCCTGGAGAACATCGACGAGAGTGCCGTGGCGGAGAGCCGCGAGGAGCAGCGAGCAGGTGGTGCAGGTGGAGAAGGCAGCGATGACGACACCTCGCTCACCTGAGTACAGCCCCTGTGCAAAGACCATGACAGGACTGGGGCTGAGCCCTGGGGCACTGGGCCTTCTGCACTTCCTCCCTTCCCCCACCTGCCTTCTGGGGGCACTGGGCTCCTGCTCAGGTGGTTGTGGCCTGACTGGACATGGCCCCAATAAACAAACCGCACAGCCCCAGCCAGCTCTTTCTTGTGCCTGCTTCTCATCTGCCCAGCAGACGCCTTGTTCTACAGTAATTTTCCTTAATACTATTATTGCTCCCTGGACCTTTGCACCCATAGGCATCGTGTTTCTGCTTGTGTAACTGCAGGATGGGGTTGTCGTTTGTTTCCTTTCTCCCTGTCCATTTGCACACTGACTTCGCTGGTCACAAAGGTGGTTGACTTGTTTTTCAGGGCTCTGTGAGGAGCTGGTCTGGCCAGAGGTCAGGTTTTTACTGTGTGACAGACCCCTGGTCCATTCTAGCTATGGACTATTGGTCTGGCACACTCTCTGGCTCTTGTCATGGCAGAAGGAAGAGGAGGGACCCACAGGTCAAAGCAAGGGCTGAAGGCCTCAGAACTGAGGTAGCACAGTGTGCCCTGGAGGAGGACACATCTCCACTGCACATAGAGGAACTTAGTCTTGAAGATCTTAGACTGCTCTTGACAGGAATTGTGGGGTCCTCTCCTCTGACCAGGTGCCAGCCTCCACTAATGTTATCCCTGGCTGCTCTGAGCTCCAGAGGGAGGCCTGGGCTGCCTCTGCTGCCCAAGGGATGTCCAGAGTCCCAGAGTTGGTCTTAGGCTCTGCTTGTCTCCTGTATCTTTGACATAAGGAAGTACTTCTCAAATCTGACCCTGTTAATCTCTCCTGGAAATCCCTGGGGAAACAGTCAGCTCAGGGGCAAGTTTTCCCCAGAGGAACAGTTTCTGTAGAGAGAGGCTGGGACAGGAGACCCTATCACCTGGAAAGTTCCAGCTCTAGCCATGCCACAATGGTCTGTAACTTTGAGAACACCCTGAAAAATTGCAGACTCTCATTTCCTAGCCGATATCCTAGGGTGATAGCTTTTACGGGTAAGTGAATGTGAGAATTGAGACTAAAGAGAACAAAGTGTCCCTCACTGGGCCAGGCATGGAGTAGGCTCTCTGGTTACAGGCACCTTCCTCTTTTCACGGCAAACCCCTTGGCCCACCCTGCTGAGAGGGTTCTTCCAGATATGCCCATTGTACCTATGAAAAATGGAAGCTCAGCTAAGTTAAAGCCTCTGGTTTGGCTAGTGCCAGGACCCAGAAATACTTGTCAAGTCTGGGCGTTTGACAGGGTGGGGAGGAGGTGAGAAGTGGCTGGACTCTGGGGGGACTTTGCCAGCACCCTCTGCAGGGAGACGTGGCCCTGGGGACACAGGACTCCCAGGGAAGGTGGTCACCAGCCATGGTTGTCCCGCCTCCAATGGCTCCCTTTCCCCTAGAGGAGGTGTGACTGTGTGTCTCCTCTCCCAAGGGTAGACTCACCAGAACAGGGGTGTCAGGCAAGACTCAAGGATCAGGACCCGTGGAGTCTCAGCAAGGGCGGGGTAGTCATGGGCCTCAGTGCCTTAGCAAGCTAGAAGGGCAAGGGAAAGACACAAACCCGGCCGGCAAGTCGGTCCAGCGGACTGATGATCTGGACTAGGCTGGGGGCGGGACCGGCAGGCTCCCTGCCCCTTCCCCGCCCTCCCGTCCCCGGAGTGTCACGTGGGGCGGGCGGAAGCGCCGGGCGAGGTGGGCGCGCCCGGACCGCTGCCGCGAGTTGGCAGCGGCCTCGTGTGACAGACGGTTCCGGGACCCCGGGTTCCCCGCGTGGAGTTCTCGTCACTCAAAACAGGTCAGTTAGGTTGCTGGGGCCTCCCAGTCGTCAGCTGTGGCCTGCACTACCCCCATTCTTCAGAAGGGAATGGTGAGGCCCGGGGCACTTTCCCCGGGGTCATCTGGTGCATTCTCCTGCCTGGGAATGAAGTGAGGTGGGGCCACCTCCGGAGGTGGAGGCGTCCGGCCAGGTCCAGAGGGACAGGGAGGGCGAGCTGGTTGACACGGCTTCTAGCCGGCAGCTCTTCTGCTTGCGGGCTCGCAGGCTGAAGGCTGCGGAGCCAGTCGCGTCGGGTGGCGTTGGTTTTTCCCACCTGAGAACTGAAGGCTCCCACCCGGATCGACAGCGGACACGCCTTTCGGCCTCGCAAAGCTGTAGGACTTTAGCCCTGGACCTGGGGCGTTGGTAACCTTGGGCAGGCTACTTCCGTCCTCTGCACCTCGATTCTCCACCAGTTAATGGGGGCACAATTTCTCTAGAGCCTACCTGGCCCAGTTGCAGGGAAAGCAGGGGTGTGATCGTTGAATGGGGTCAGGCTAGGAGTGGGTGGATGGGCTTAGAGCAGGGTTGCCGTGCAGCTGGGTTGGTGGGGTGGGTGTTTGGTCTCAGATCTCCATGGTTTGGTTGCTGGGTGATTAGGACATAGCACAGTAGGCTTCTGCCCTATGTTTGCCCTAAATCCGGTGTCCTGGGAAACCTTCCCTAATGACCATAGTTGGGGTTCGAGGGCTCAGACTGAGCTTGGGAGGTAAGGATTTGACTGCTGCTGGGTCCCAGGGACCCTGATACCTCTGCTTGGAGAGCAGCGAATGCCGTTCGAGGGGAAGTCTGACATCCTAGCACCGTCATTACAGGGTAAAAGAAACTCAGCAGAACCCAGAGACAGGTGTGGACAGGTGCCGACCTGGGGAGGAGAGGATGCCCGGAGTGAGTTTTGGTAGTTAAGTGACTGTTTGCAAAAACTGACGGCAATGTGAGAGCAAGAGCTTGTGGCAAAGAAGGGATTCTCTAACTTGGATGAAAGGCAAGGAGGTGGGTGTGGCTGCTAGGGGCGGGAGGGAAGGGAAGGGTTTGCGAAGAACTAATCCTTGGGACTCACGCCCTGTTGGAGTTTATTTGGACCCTGGCCTGGGACCCTGCTCCCCAGTGGAATAGGGTACAAGTGAGATGTCCCAGGCTACTGATGTCTGTGAGGTGGAAGCAAGTGTTCCCAAATGAAATGCAGGTTTCATTTGGACATTCAGGCCTCCATACTTGGCCCCCATCCCTTGGGGTTCAGCCATACTTCCCCATCACAAATCAGCCTTTTTACAGAGGTGTGTCTGTCTCACGAGTTTGATCCTCGTCCAAATCCCCATGTTCTCTGAGATTTCAGGGTTCATATGTGGCCTGCTGGCCTGGTTTTCAGTTCTGGGTATGGCGAGACGTAGGAAGGATTGCCTTAGGTGTCTGTGAAGATGGCTACAGTGTAAGACCAGCCAGGACTCCGGCGTCTGCATTTCTAGTACTGCCACCAAGCCCTGTGTGGCTCTGACACTCTCCACCCTTTTCAGAGCCACCTTTCCATGACTGAGGGGTGGGATGACAAGCCTGGCTTCGTTCCAAGGACAACTGCTAAAACAAGAGTCAGGCCAGTGTGAATCCTGCCTCAAGTCCTGGAGGAAGGGGCAGTGGAGCAGGGGCCCAGAGCACTGGCACAGCAGTGATGCCGGCCTGGGCCTCGGCCGGGCCCCCCGAGTCTCTCCCATTCTCTAGGACTTCTTCCCCACTCCACTCTCCCTTGACTGAGCTCAAAGCCAGCCGCCAATACCCAAACAAGTGGCCTCTGTTCCTAGAGGAGGGGGAAGGGAAGCTGGCCCTGGGCTCCAGGCCCGCCAGTCCAGCACTGACCCTGCCTCCCCCTTTTGCTCTGGGTCTTAACTCTTGGAAGCCTGGACTGGGTACTGGGCTGTTTGAGGCTGGTACCTCTTGCCCTACAGCTGACTCGTCTGTCTGTCTTGCTTCAGATTTCTGAGGGAACTGACTGGATGTCCTCAAAGCAGTGTATATGTGGGGTACGGCTGCTGCCAGTTTCTCTCGGCTCCTTCCAAGTCCATGAGGCCAGACTCAGACCCTCCAGAGACATGAGGGGTCTGTGCCAAGACTGACCACCAGGTATCTGGCAGTGAAGCCGGGAGGTCCCAGAGTCCCATCAATGCATATATATTCTCCGCAGAGCTCAGACTCACAGCTGACTCAAACGGACCCCCCTCTTCAGCCAAGCCCCTAGACCTGTACATTCCAGTTGGGACTCTGGGAAGGACAGTCTCTGCCCAAGGAGACAAATGTCCCTTAGATGATAATTCAGGTATGCTGTGGGGCCACAGTTTAGGGCTTCTCATCTACAGCTTTCTTGTGAAATACCTGTCATTCTTTGGGTCATAAGTCAGAAAGAAAAACTGTTCTCTAATTAAGATTTCTGAGGCAGGTGTGGTGGTGCACACCTTTAATCCTAGCACTCAGGAAGCAGAGGCAGGCAGGTCTCTGAGCTCAAGGTCAGTCTTGGCTACACTAGTGAGTTCCAGGACACCCAGGGCTACATAGAGAAACCTTGTCTTGAAAAAACAAAACATACAAAACGTGTTCTAGATCACTAGGGTAAAGTAGCTGGGAAGGGATATGGAATTAAGTGACTAGTTCAATAACATTAATACTTCATCCAGTGCAATACATGGTTTTAAGATAGGCATAGCACCAGTAGAAGCCGCTTTCTTGTCCATTCCCATTTTATAGGAGTGCAAAGTGAGGCCAAGAGGCAAGGTGATTTTCTAAACCATCCATTTCTTAGATTGGCGGGATCGCTGCATTCTCACTGCTCACAGTGAGATCCTTCAGCACAGGGAGTTTCTGCAGACGGCAGATTCAAACCCTACCCTGGATTCCCCATTGCAATAACTGGCAGACTGGAGGGCTGCCAAGTCCCTGACATTGGTGGTGATCAGTTTTGGAGCAGGGATGCCTGCAGTTATTACACTTACTGGCCTAGTTGCATTGTCTTGGCGACCCCCACAACCCCAGGGCCCAGTCCTAGGAAGGGCACCTCCTGGAGAATTAATTTCCTGCCCGTCCCTTCACTTTCCCTACCCTATCTGCTGCTGAAGAAGGCAAGGTCTGTAGATGGTCGGCATCTGAAGAGACAGAACTGGGGCAGAGGTCCAGGCTAGGGCTCTGTGTGTGCTCCCTCCCCTGCCTGGGGCCTACTAGGGTCTCCGAAACTCTGATCTTCCTGCAGAGGCTGCCCACTACCTTGTCACAGGGCCTAAGTCTGTGTCGATAAACTAGGAACTAGCCCTCTTAGGTGCCCCGGT